GGCCGGCCCCGACGGCCTGGACTGCAGCCTGGACAACCTGATGGTGGACCTGGTGGTGGCGGCGGCCGGGGCGCTGGGCGGGGAGGCCTGTAGCAGCTGTGTCCAGGCGTACCAGCGGCTGGACCAACACGCTCAGGAAAAATATGAGGAGTTCGACCTCTTGCTGGAGAAGTACTTGCAATCGGAAGAGTACTCGGTCAGATCCTGCCTGACGGACTGCAAGGTACGAGGGGCCGTCCCGGGTGAGCTGGGCCGCAGGGGGCTCTGTGCTGTGGCGGTACCGTGGTCCCCTTGCCCTCACACCTTTCTGCAGGCTGGGATCTCCCTCTGCTCTCCAAACCTCTCGTGACAGTGGTGGTGGGACAGCTCTGGAACACTTGGGAAGGCTGGACAGGGTGGTGGGACAGAGAAGGCAAAGCAGGACTTGGCCTGAATGAGCACTCACACATCCCTTCACACCTCTGCACACACGGGCAGCTCCCAACATTCCATTCCCATCACCCTGCTCCCAGCACCTCTGTCTGAGCACCAGCTCCTGACACCTCACTCCCAGCACCCCAGTCCTGACACGCCACCCCCAACACCCCTCTCCTGACACCCCAATCCTGATGTACTGCCTCAGTCCAAGCACCTCACTCCTGACGCCCCAATCCCTACCAGCCTCATCCACACCCCTTTCCATGTGCACCCCTGTGCACACTGGGGCTGAGCTGGGGCAGCTGTGGGGCCCCTCACCTTTGCCTCAGATGTGCTGCTGCTCCTGGGACAGCCCAGGGTTCCGCCTGGCTGTCATTAGATCAGCAGTGACCTGAGATGAACCGTGGTTCAGGGCCCCTTCCCTGTATGCAGCTGCTGTTTTCCAGCTCTTTCTCCCTTTCTGCCCAGGGAGATGACCCAGGAGTGCTGGGATGTGCCTCCCATCTTGGTGTTCTCCCCAGTGTCACTGAGTGTCCCCAGCCCTGGGGTACAGCCCCTGTTCTGAAAGCTGATGGGTTGGTTGCATCTCCCAGCATCAATGGGATCGAGGCTCAGTATGGAGCCATCTTCTCTCCCAGATGAGAGTTGTGGTTGGATCTCCATAAGACCCCCAGTGTGGTTCTGCTGGATGTTCCATTCTTACAAGCCCGTGGTGCCTCCAGCTTCCCCCTGCTGCAAGCTGCCTGGCTCACCTCCAGACATCACCTCTGGGAAGAGCAATGGTCTCCACAATTAAACCTGCTTCCCTTGCTCGGAGCTGTGTCTTGGGCAGTGTGACAGCATTGTCCCCACAGGGATGGTGGCAGAACTTCCTCCCTGGTAGTACGACAGGGTTGGCTGCTCTTCTTCTGAGACAGGAGTTTTGAGGGACACTTGGAGTTGCAGGGAAGCTCTTGAAGTGATGTTCATGCCCTGGGAAAGTGCGGGAGCAGCACCAAGAACAGCACTGGGACACTGAGGTGTCTTTCACCAAGGGCACATTGGTGAGATCGTGGCCACTACTCCAAGGGTCGCTCTGGTGAGGTGCTGGGTTTGAGCAGGAGCCTGTGCTTGCATTCTGGGCCTGGGCCAAGGCAGGTAATGACAGTCTGCTTCCCAAATTCCTCATGTTTCCAAGGGACATAGCATTCAGCCTGCTCTGAGTAGTTTGGTCCTACTGCTCCACTTCCACAGGGAGTTTGGTGCTGTCCATTGTGCTGCTCCTGCTTCCAGGGGCCCAGCAGGATCAGGATCTCCCTGTGCCATGTCTGGTGGAGCATAAACATTTCAGATTCAGGCTTAGCTTCCATCTCTGCTGGGAGACCCAGAGAGAGAAGCAAAAGAGGTGAGAAAATAATCATCATATTGGGACTCCAAAATATGTAGAAACAGAGCCGTGCTTCAATGAGTCTCCATTAAGTGTCCCTTGGTTTAACATCCTTATGGGAGAGCAGGAAATGTGCTGGGGAGATGCAGAGCTGGAGGCAGTGGCAGGACTCAGCCCTCTCAAACTGGTTCCGTGTTGTATCAGTGCATCCTTAGAGCATCCTTAGAGCATCTGTGAGCTCCAGCCTTGCATTCCACAGGCAGCACTTGGGAACAGGAGGCAGGAGGAGCAGGGACAACCTGTGCACACTCCCCTGGGCCACCCACTGGGAAATTCCCATGGGAGTGCCTGAGTCTACACACTCCCACCGGAGCCCTCACAGCTCCCATCCTTTTGGTTGCTCCTGAAAATCAAGCTGCTTTATTTAAGGCCATTCACTCCATATTTATGTGTCTTACTCCAGCCTTTTGCATCCATGAGACTCAGCTTTTCCCTCTCAGTGACTGTTCCCCATCTGTGAGTTGAGGCTACTGCCAGACCCCTCCAGCATTGTGGTGAGGAGGGAGTTTTGGCCTGATTTCATGATTTCTGGACGTGAGCAGGGACTGCAGTTACTCATTGCCTTGGAAAAATGTGGCTGGCGGGATTTTTGAAGCAGTTTGAATTTGTATTTCCCATCCAGATACTGCATGATACCTGTTTGTGAGGGATGGCAGAGCTATTGTTTGATGGTGATAACATCTGAGAGCAAATAACAGGAAAACAGGAGAGGAGTGGAGGAAAACAGAGTGGAATGTGCAGTTCAGCCAGTGTGAGAACTCCTGCAGAGCCCTCACAGCAGGATTCTGGCTGCATGAGCTCTGGAGTTGGAGAAACAGGATTTAAATGATAATTCTGGGACACAGGACCATGGGAGCGGGGCTGTGCATGGAGGGTTAGTGCTGCTTCCCATTTGCATCCCTGCCATTCTGTAACAGCAGCTGGAAAATAGAAGTTGAGGAAGCACAGCAGCTCCAGCTCACCTGCTCACAGCCTTCCTCTGCAGAGCCACGGATCCCTCTGGAATTCGGTGCCTAAGAAGTCTGGCTCAACACACAGCTCACAGGGAACTCTGTGGCAGCCAAACCACTCCAGTGATTCTGGCTCTTTATTCCACCTTATTTCAAACAGCAGCAACACCAAATCCCAACTGGAGCTGCCAATTCCTTCTTATGGCAGCAGGTTTGACCCCAAGCTAAAAGTTTGGAAGTGTCTGAAGAGTTGTGGATTGGTTTTAGGAGACACATAATCCCCTGTTAATAAATCATCTTGAGAGCTGCCCTCAGGTTTGGGGAGAAAAGGGAGGTGCTGCCAGGAGGGGAAACAGCATCCTAGGCATCCCAGCCCTGGATCCATCTGTGCCTGGAGATTGGGAAAGACTGGACCAAAGTCTCCCTGGGAGATAGGAATCCCATGAAATGGTGGGGTCTGTGTGTAATTCAGGTGCTGAGATTACTCAGTGCTGTAATACTCTGCCTCTTCATTTTCTGCTTGGGGATCGTTCCTGGGCAGATCCCACTTTCTGCACATGTTGTTATACCTGTGCAGCACTGTCAACTTCCAAATCACTCCTTGGAAATGTTTTATTTGTTACTCTTACAACTAACCCCAGAAATCCCTGTGGCTGAAGGACAGTAAATCATGAAGATGCACTTCTGGGGGTTATTTTTTGCATTTCCCATTTGTTGGGATTTTGGGGGGTCTGACTCCCACAGGGACACTCATGGACAGGAGGAAGAGAGGGAAGTGGGTCCACAGGGTCCATCCATCTTCTCAAATACATTTCACCTCATGTTGCAGGGATCTGCCTGCCAGCTGCTGGGTCACAGTGCTAGGTAGGGATGATGTGGATAAAAGGTGGAAAACGCCTGTGTTTTTCTGAACATAAGAGGGAAAAGTCATTAATTGAGTCAGGAGCAGCTGCTGGACACCTCCATCTCACCTGTTGCTATGTGACTTGTACCCTTTGTCACTGCAAGACACAATGAACTTGGTGCACAGTTGTGGGGACACTTTGGAGCATCCTCCTGTGACCAAAGGACGTCACAGCCTGGGAACATGGATATTGGACTTGTATATCCATCAGGAAATGTGAGGCAGCAACAGCACTCATATTGTCAGCCCAGGCTTTGCAGGACTTAATGCAGGAGGAAATCGCTGTCCTTCCAAAGCAGTGTCCTGCTTAGGGCTCAGTTGTGCCTTTTTCCTGTCTTTCCAAACAGGAAAAGAGCAGTGTTGCTCCAGCTCAGACACCAGATGAGAGCTTTGCTCGTGCCAAGGCCAAGCTCTGCGTGCTGGCTCCCACCCCAACAGTTCCCAAAAGTGCCCCCTCCCACCGGCGCTGGGGCAAATCAAGATCTATAGGACGAAGCCTGTGGAATTAGAGTCATTAGGCTGCAAGAAACAAAGCTGTGGTGAGAGAAGGGCTGACAGGCAGGAGGGAGCTGGCAGCAGAGCTGGGCAGGCTGGGCTGGACAGGACCTGTAGCATCTCAGATGTGATTAGATTATCAGGTTTCTCTGCGCACGGGCCCGTGGCTGTGGGATCTGGTTCTGCACCTCTGGTTTCCCCAGTACCCCTGGCAGGGCAGGATTTCACTCCTGAGGCTTCACAGTGATGTGGTGAGAAATGGAGGCTGCTCCTGCTCTGGCATCGCCCCTGGCACAGCCCACATGAAGCAGGGAGCAAATCCCCAGTGCCCTCAGCAGCCTCTGGGGTCCTGTTTTCTGGCTCTTGTTTAACCAGGAATAGCATCAGTAATCGGCATCGCTGCGGAGCGTCCCTCCCTGTGGAACATCCTCTGGAAACCCGAGCCTGCAGATGCCAGGAGCTTTAGAAACACCATGTCTTGGGGTTATCCCAGTGCCAGGGACACCTCTTGGGGGAACCAAAGCAGCGTTTTACCTTCACGAAAGTAGCTCAAGTTGTGGTTTTTTTGGGCTAGGCTTGTCCAAAATACTGCCTCAACCTGGTGCACTCCTACTCTGGGCCTGGATGGCTCCTTGCACAGAGGGAAGGTCCCTTGAGAACCATAACAAAAGTGGTTTCACCAAAACCTTGTGCTTTTTAAAGGGAGTTACTTTAGTACTGAGGCTTCCAGAGAATCTGTGGATGGGTGACTGCAAAGTTGCACCCTGGACCTGTTTCAGTGTGGAGCATTTGGTGCACCAGGAGCAGCAGCACCTGGGAGGGGAGAGGCTGCTCCCAAACACCTGCGTCCGCTCCAGAGCTTCTCCTCCAGAACCAGCCTGGCCAGTGAGGCATTTCATGAGGTGAAAAAAGGTTCCAGAGTGAATTCCAAAGTAATTCCAGCAAATCAGCGCAGTCATTTGGCAGCTTGAGCAGGAGCATATGCACAAGCTTAGTCAAGTGTGTGGCTCCATGTTCCCCACCCATTCCAT